CTCAGTTTCCTTGAGCGAAGCTCGTTTTCTCACTAATAAAATGAGCAGGTTGGGCTTGATTATCTTTTAACTCTCTTTCAAGTTTGAAATTTGCTTTATTTTTATCCTCACACTAATAAGGAAAGCAGGATCGAAGAATGATGCTGAGAGAGGTTAAAGGAGTTGTACAAAGTCACAGGAACTGCAATTAGAGGCCCGGTCTCACATACCCAGCCCCAGAGTCTTTCCATTGCCACATACTGCTCTAAGCCTGCCCTGTAATGATCTTAGGAACAGGATACACACTCATCATCTGCAAGACTTTGATGAATTTCTGCCTGGAAAGGCGAAGAAAAAAAGACACATAGTCATGAGCTTATGATTCTAAGACACTTGGCCTTTTATTTTTGCATCTAGAATTATCAGCACCTGAGCTTAGGAAGAAAAATAATTCTTTGAGAAACGGACTTATACTTTATTTCATCTCAGTATTTATCTTCTTTTATGGATATTTAGTAAATGTGTGCTCAACAATCTGACTACTAGCATTTCTTCCCTCAAGAATAATTTTTGTTTAAGGAAAGGTCAGTTGATTAAGAAACTGGAGAGTCATCACTGGGGTTCAAAGCAAAGCAGAGGTTTCATGTTCACTTCCTATTTTAACCAAAGGTCTCTGGGTGTTTGGATTTGGAAATTTGTGCCGCAACACAGGAAGGATATGGATTGTAGGATTAAAGCCACCTGAATTTTAATACTAGCTCTATTATTTGACAACTTTGGATTTTGAGGGATTGAATTTCAATGCCGTCTTCACCTGTAAGCAAGATCATTTCTACCCTTGAAGGTTAGAACATAAAAATAATTGCTTATCACAATATTTTATTACAAAAATTTTCACACACACAGAAAAGTTAAAATAATTATGCAATGTAAGCCCATTTTTCCCTCCACCTAAATTCTATCATTGACATTTGGTTATATATACACCTATGCATCTTCACATCCCTCTCTTAATCAATTTATTTTACTTTTTGATTCATTTCAAAGTCAGTTGCAAACATCAGTACACTTTACCCCTAAATGCTGCAATGCTTTATAGTATTTTATATGCAAATTTTACATACAGTGAAATATACAAAATGTATACCACTCAATAAGCTCTAGCAAATACATACACCTGTATAACAAAAACCTCCATCAAGATACTGAACATCACTATCACCTCCAAAATTTCATGCCCCTTCCTGGTACATCCCTGCTGCAATCCCTTCTGTTCTGATATATTTTCATCAAAACTTAGTTCTACCTGTTCAAGAACTTCATAGAAATGGAAACATACAGTAGGTATTCGTTTGTATAAGGGTTTTCATGCAGAATAAAAGTTTGGGGGATTCATTGATGTTGTTGCATGAATGTGTAGTTTCTTCTTTGGCATAGCTGGCAAGTATTCCACTTAGGAATCCCATAGTTCATCCACTCTCACTTTTGGCTATTCTAAATAAAACTGTTGTAAATATTCCTATAGACTTTTGTAGATATATTTTTTTATTTCCCTTTGGAAAATATCTAGAAGTAAAATTGTAGGTTCCAGAGTAGGTTTGTATTTAGCTTTATAAGAAATTTCTAGGCTTTTATCCATAGTGGCCGCACAATTATACACACTCACTAAAAACATAAACGTTCCAGTTGCTCCACATCCTGACCAATATTTGCTGTCGGTCTTTTTAAATTTAGCCATTCTAGTGGATGTCTCTCATCATGGTTTAATTTGCATTCCCTTGATAATTAATAAAAATTGAGCATTTTTCATCTTCCTTACCTGAGTCTTTGGCCTCTTTTTTATTGAATCATCTTTTTGTTACGAGTTTTAGAGTGCTATATATTCTGGATACTAACCCTTTGTCGTATATATATATTCTGTAAATTTCTTAACAATGCCTTCTGATTAGCTCAAGTTCAACTTTAAGTCTAGTTTTTCAGGTTTTTTTGTTTTTTGACAGGGTATCACTCTATCACCCAGGCTAGAGTGCAGTGATATGATCACAGCTCACTGCAGCCTCAATCACATGGGCTCAAGTGATCCTCCTACCTCAGCCTCCTGAGTGGCTGGGACTACAGGTGTGTACCACCACGCCCAGCTAATTTTTTGTAATTTTGGTAGAGATATGGGTTTCAGCCATGTTGCTCAGGCTGGTCTTGAACTGCAGGGCTAAAGTGATCCACCTGCTTAGACCTCCCAAAGTGCTGGGATTACAGGGATGAGCCATTGTACCTGGCCCAGTTTATCAATTTTTATTGCTTTCTGTGACCGAAGACACTTTCACCTATCCACTACATTGCAAAGATATTCTCCTATGTTTTCTTTCAGATGCATTATAATTTTGGCTTTTTTTAGGTTGGTGAACCATCTCAAAATAGTATTTGTGAATGGTGTGAGGTAGGGGTTGATGCTTCAGTTATTCCAGCATCATTTTCTACAAATATTTTCCTCTCTCCATTGGGCTGCTTTGGCACATATATTGGAAATCAGTCCATTGTGTAAGTGTGGGTCTATTGCCAGGCCTTCAATCCTATTCCATTGATCTGCTTGCCTGTTTTTATGAAGGTGTCATGAAGTTTTGATTGCTGTAGTTTTGTAGTAAGTTATGAAGCCAGATAGTGTAATTCCTCCAACACTGTTCTTCTTTTTCAACGTTGCTGAAGATATCCTAGCTTTAGCTCATTTTAAAGGAATTTTAGAATTAGGTTGCCTTCCTGCAGAATAAATAAAACAGCCTGGTAGGCTTTATAAGTGATTACACTGACTTTATAGATCAATCCGGAAATAACAGACATCTCAACATTATTGAGATTTCTAATCAATAAGCATGGCATCTCTTTCTAGATATTTAGGTTGTCTTTCATTACTTTCAGCAATGTGTTATAGTGTTTGGCATAGAGGTTTTGCATGCATTTTGAGAGCTTGTTTGGAGGTTCTAGCAGGGAAGCACAGCTACTGATACACTCTTCACCGAAGACAGGTCCTCCTGTATATCAGGGGTGGCCTTCCTCTTCGATCAAGCGTGCAGCTTCAGGAAGGATACACACGGAGCAGTAAGGGAGGTAGGGGACACCCGCCTGGCCATCCAGATCAGCCAAATCAACCTTGGTGATCAATGGGGTGACAGATGTCACAGCCAGATCACCCTCACATCCTTGCATGTATTCTGTTAAAGGTATTCCTGAGTATTTTGTGTTTCATCATGATAATGTAAGTGGAATTTAAAAATTATTTTTCCACTTATTTGTACTAGCATCTAAAAATACATTTGAATTTGCATATCAACAATATATCCTGCAACCTTGCCAAATTCATTTACTATTCCTCATAGTTGTTTTGTAGAGTCATTAGGACATACTGTGCCATCAACCATATCATCTGCAAACAGACAGTTTTATTGCTCCTTTTTCAATCTGTATTTCTTTTATTTCATTTTCTTATCCTATTGCACTAGCTATGATCTCCAACACAATGATAATTAAAAGAGCTGAGAGTGGGCATCCTTACCTAGTTATCAATCTTAGGGAGAAAACATTCAGTATTTCCCTATTAAGTGTAATGTTAGTTGTAGATTTTTCATATATTCACTTAACAGATTGACATTCCTTACCATTGCACCTTTGCTTCAAGTTTTTATTATAAATAGATGTTCCCTTTTGTCAAATAATTTTTCTATATTATTTAAACTATCATATATTTTGTCTCCTCTATTGTGTGGCTCTGGTGAATTACACAGGTTAGTCTTTAAGCATTTAACTTTGCATTCCATGGATAAATCCCAATTTTATGCATTGCTACATTCCATTTCATATTTTCTTAAGATATCTATTTTTAAAACTTATTTTTTTGAATCAAGTTTATGATGGCTACATAAAATGACATGTTCCTACCTCCTCTATTTTCTGAAAGATTTGCATATTAGTGTTGTTTCTTCCTTAAATGTTTCCTAGAATTTACTAGTAAAACCAATTAGGCCACAAGTACCTTTTAATAATCATTGCAAACCAGGAACTGCGTAAGATATTTTATTATCATCACTGTTCATAACAACACTTCAAATTACATAAAACCTACTTTAAACAGTCAAAATTTAGGGTTGAGAGAAATTAAATAACTTACCCGAGGACATGCAGCTATATGTCATGTACAAACACCAGGTATATTTAGCTCTAAAGTTTTTAGTCTACCACAGAATGTCATGGTAGATTTGAAGTTGTACAGATAAATATCACTTCTAAACTCCCTTAATACATGGCACTCATAAACCGAGCAAGCATCTCTACTGGTCACTAGTTGATTTTTCAAGACAAGGAAGTTTTGTTTTGTTTTGTTTTTTAATGTATTAGAACCAAAATCCAATTTTAGACATGCCACTAATCTCATTCTTAAAAAGAAGAAGGCACATTAGACAGTGAAGTTAGTTACATTTAATATCAACTATAGATCATTCACTCCAGCCCATTTTTGTTTCAACATTTTATTTATGTAACTGTATTTACTAAGAACCTATAAGTATGTTAAATAAGTTATTGGCTATGCTTATTTCTTCACTAGTAGTTCTTCGTCATATACAAGGCATGAGAAGTTTCTTCAAATAAATTAGATAGTGGAGTGCCAATTAAATAAAAGAACCCTATAAAGAAAGTCACATTGGTGCAGCATGAATTACCCAAAAAAGATCAAACATTTTTATTTTATCTGATGCTGAAAACAGGTAAACAACATAGATCTCTAGTTTCTTTATGGTTCCCTGGTAACCCAAAAAAAGGGGATCATATGTATTTCTCAAGATGAAATATTTCATTGTGTAATGGGTTTAGATTATGAGTGAAAAATAAAATAAAACAAACACCCATCATATCAGGCATACAGACAAACCGTGCATTGACTTTGTTATGTATGAATACAGTGTGAGAAAGAGGATAAAGGCACACAATCCCAACATATATTTTCTAATACTATTTCCTTCATTTGAACTTACCAATAGAGCAAAAAGGAGTGAGACAGCAAGGTAGTCATCCAGTTTTTCTTTTAACAAACAAACTCTATCCATCCATTTTTCTCAATCATCTTAATAGTGTGAGTAAAGAGTGTTTCCAGGTTCTTAGAATACAGAGCTAGAGAAAAAATTAAGTTGACAGGGTTCAGTTTTGACAGTGTATCCAGCTGTTTATAGCTTTTCATTTTTTCCATAAACCTAACTGGTATCAGTATATGTAAAGTTTCTAACACTTCCAGCTAGGGAATACTTCACAGAAGAAAAATGCTTTCCTTGGAGTTTACAAATGCCATTTGGTCTAATTTTTCAGCAAGGGTTTGTCTAGTTAGATTATGAGATTTTTCCTGGAGAGCAACAGCAAGAGACTGTCCCTCATGCTGTCAGAGAAAGAGAGTTATATTTTTGTTCCTTGGAAGAAACATATAATGTAATGGGCAAAAAGTCAAGTGGGTGGGGAGCCATTAGCCCACATAAACCTCCAGAGAAATCTCTAAGAAAAAGGCATTCTAAATAACACGCTCCACTAGCATATTTTCTTTTAAAAAATACGTCCAAGAAAGTAGATGCAGGCTGGGTTTTATGGGACAGGACTCATGCTGTCCTACCCAGAGAGCAAGAGTTACTTAGGGAAAACAAAGTTTGAAACATGGGTAAGACTAACGGCAAAAATTGAGCCCAGAAGGTCAGAGATTAATGGTGGGACTACAAAGATGTAAGTTAGGAGCTGGTTCAGAGAAAGAGAACAGGAACAAAGAAAGAGCATCTCGTAAGATTTCTGCAAGTCTTTCTACACCTGAATTTCTCATCTTTCAGATGGGCATGTCTATGGCAGTGTCAGAATAGCTTAAAAAGCTAAAAAGCAACACATAGGCCAAAATTTAATTCTGAACTATCAACTCTGAGTTAGGAACCAAATATCCTGCCATATTATTATACAGTACATACTTCTTGAACAGTTCAACAGAAGACCTTTGTGTTTTTTTCTTTCTATAAATGATCTCCATTTTAGGTGAATCTGATTTTTTTTAATCTGCATTTTTTTTTTTTTTTGAGATGGAGTTTCACTCTGGTGCCCAGGCTGGAGTGCAGTGGCATGATCATGCCTCACTACAAGCTCCGCCTCCCGGGTTCACACCATTCTCCTGCCTCAGCCTCCCGAGTAGCTGGGACTACAGGCGCCCGCCATCATGCCCGGCTAATTTTTTGTATTTTTAGCAGAGATGGAGTTTCACCATGTTAGCCAGGATGGTCTCGATCTCCTGACCTCGGGTTCCGCCCGCCTCGGTCTCCCAAAGTGCTGGGATTGCAGGCATGAGCCACTGCACCCAGCCTAAATCTGCATTTTTAAAACTACTAAATTTTAAGCTAATAATGTCCCACTGATGTCACAAGGACTCACTAGGGGATCACATTATGTTTTAAACCCATTCGGTGCTTAATATGATTTGATCTGTAAAATGCTTTCCAGGTATCCATTCATCATGGACATGGATATTTACTTAGCGTGGTGATTAAAGGGAGGAACTCCAGAGTGAGGCTGTTTGGGCTCAAATCCCAGCTTTACCAGTTACTAGCTGTATAACCTTGGGCAAGTTAGGAAACCCTTTTGGAATCAGTTTATTTCACTGCACAATGAGGAAAAGAGCAATACCTATCTCATATGACTGTGAGAATTAAATAAGTTCTACAGAAAGCATTTTTAAAAGTGTCCTAGCCAGAGGAGGTCACATCTAGCCAGAGGAATTACTTCTTGTTGCTGTTATACTATGTGACTATAAATCATACTTTTTTTTTTCCTTTTGACTGGATTCAAAAATGTTCTCTTTCAAGAAATTCCATAAAATCAGGTTTTTCCTTCTATTTTAACATCTGCCAAACTCTCTTCTTAAAGAAATTGAAATTACTTGGCTTATGGTCAAATTTAATGGTGAAGACTGAATCTATAAATCTACAAAGACTTAGAAAGGGATTTATAAAATAGTAACTTATAACTCAATTACTATTTGAATGGCCTGGTTGTGCCTGAAAGTAATTAACTGAGCAAGACCTGAGTATGTGTGTACCTCCAAGATACCCACGACCGATCCTGTGGTGGAATCAGATGTAGTTAGAGAAACTGTGATAACTCAAATTTTCCCAGCTCTGATCATCGCCTCCGTCATTAGATCCTATGGCCAGTTTTTTGTGTCAGGGTCCCCGTGAACACCACTGGACACTCCCACAAAGGCATGAGAACCCCTGGGAGTGATAAAGCCAAAACAGCAGTGTCTGGAACTGGTGCTGCTTTTAGTAGTGTTACACGACTTTGGAGTAGCCCTGCTATAGTGCTGCAAGTGTCTCAAAACTTTTACTCAAATGGCTCTGTAGCATCTTATTTATGGCCCTGCTGTTTCCCAACTCTCAAACTCTAGGTTGTCTTATACTTTAATTTCTTTTTCCTTTTTTTTTCTGGAGACAGGGTCTCACCCTGTCACCCAGGCTGGAGGACAGCTGTATGATCATGGCTCACTGCAGCCTCCACCTCCAAGGCTCAAGCTATCCTCCCACCTCAGCCTCCCGCGTAGCTAGGATTACAGGCACATACCGCCATGCCTGGCTAATTTTTTTTAAAAGTTTTTTGTAGAGACTGGGCATGGTAGCTCATGCCTGTAGTTCCAGCATTTTGGGAGGCTGAGGTGGGAGGAGTACCTGACCCAGGAGTTCCAGACTAGCCTAGGTAACATTGTGAGACCCTGTCTCCACACACAAAAAATTAATTTTTTAAAAAATTATTTAGGCATGGTGACATGTGCCTGTAGTCCCAGCTACTACTTGTGAGCCTGGATGGGAGGATTGCCTGAGCCCAGGCAGTCTAGGTGGCAGTGAGCCAGGATCGTGCCACTGCACTCCAACCAGGCTGACAGAGCAAGACCCTTTCTCAAAGAATAGAAAAAAAGAATTTAATTTCTTAGAATTTAAATTCTATTAAAAATCATTTCAAATATAGGTGTTTTGCAGTTTATATAAACAGTTTCTTATGCAAATTCCAGATAATTCTGTCTTGGGGGGATGAGCTATAGATTAGTGAATATACATATATTTCTTTAAATTGTGCAAAATGGATATTACTAAGCTGTATTTGCAGGTTGGGCTTTCAGTGGCCACGGCCTCTGAGTCCTGTTTCACATTGAAAACAACCAATAGAGCACACATATCCCCCTTGAAGGGGGAGAAGGTGTGATCTGTGTAGTTCTAAAGTCTTGCCAAATGACTTCAGAGCCAGTTACTGAGCTGGAGACGAGGGTGAGAGAAACACTAGTGAGCTAATTTTGCAATGTTTGTATTTGTAACCAGTTACCTAGTAAGCACATGAGAAATTTAGGCCAGGCACGGTGGCTCACACCTGTAATCCCAGCACTTTGGGAGGCTGAGGCGGGTGGATCACCTGAGGTCACAAGTTTAAGACCAGCTTGGCCAACATGGTGAAACCCCATCTCTATGAAAAATAGAAAAAAATTAGCTGGGCATGGTGGGCACCTGTAATCCCAGCTCCTCGGGATGCTGAGGCAGGAGAATTGCTTGAACCCAGGAGGTGGAGGTTGCAGTGAGCCAAGATTGTACCATTGCACTCCAGCCTGGGTGACAGAGCGAAACTCCATCACAAAAAAAAGAAAAAGAAGAAGAAGAAACTTGAATGAAGCCAAGAAAAGAAAACTCTGTTGAATATTAGAAGTCCTCCTTATATCATACTTTGCTGGTCATCATTGCTGAGTAACTGGAGGACACAGCAATAATAATAATAATCTCAGCGCTTGTAAAGTGGTCCATACCTGTAATCTCTTTCAAAGAAAAAGCAAATTAGTTTCACAAATTAGCTTAAAGATTATTGCTGGGTTATTAGGGTTGCTACTGTTTTTACAAAAGGCCATTCATCAGGGAAGGCCAAATTCTGAGCCCTCTCCAGTCCTGTAGATCTCTGCCAAGAGCTACATGTGTCGATGGAGTGAGGGCTTGACTTGTGACTAGTCTAAATTGCAAAATACACACCAGAATTCAGACTTCGTACAAGATAAGGAATGTAAAATATCTCAGTAATTTTATATTGATGACCTACTGATATATTTTGGTTTAAACAAACATTATTAAAATTAATTTCCCTTGTTTCTTTTCGCATTTTTTATGTGGCTCCTAGAAGTTTTGAATTTCTTGATATGGTTTGCACTTGAGACCCATGTTACATTTCTCTTGGACTGCACTGGGCTAGCCCAGTCGGAGAAAAAAGTAGAGAAGAGTAAGCAGAGCTGACAACAATCACTACAGGGAACACAGTCCTTGTCCTGGATATTCCATTCCTCAAAGTGATATAGAAACTTGGATATGAAGAACCTATGAATGGCTAACTTTCCTTCTAATAGACAAGTCTTTTAAAAGCATCAATTTATTAAATTACATCTATGGCTTTGAGGTGATAACAGATGAGTTGTGTAAATAGAGCATTACACATAAAAATTATCAATAGATGGTAGCCTGTTTTGGGTGTGTTTTGGCTGACAAGTGATACAGACAAAATAATTACCCACTCATAGCCACAATTCAAAACCACTTGGCAAATAGTCTAGTTTAGCGGTTGGCAAACTATGGCATGGGAACCAAATCCAGCCTGACACCTGTTTTATAAAAAATAAAGTTTTATTGGAACACAGCCATAGCCTTTCACTTCCATATTGTCTATGGCTGCTTCTGTACTAAAATGGCAGAGTTGAGTAGTTGTGAAAGAGATCATACAGTCTGTAAGGCCTAAAATATTTACTATCTGGACCTTTACATAAAAATGTTTCTGATGCCCGGTCTATGTTAACACTAAAGTAAGAGTGGTTCCTTTAAGTCAGATCATGTCTTTGCTCTGCTTAAACTTTGTGACTGGCTTCCCAGCTTAGAGTGAACAAGGAAAAATAGTCAGACCTCATAGCAATCAGCTTCTGGCTCTTCCTGCCCTGCTCCAGGTGGTCTCCTTGCTGGTCCCAGAATACGCCAAACAAGCACCTACTTCAAAGTCTTTGTCCTTATGGCTCCCAGGTGCCCTCCCTCACCTCCTTCAGGTCCTTGTGCAAGTATCAGTGATTGCTGTATACAAAATAG